CACTGCCAAAGAAAATAGATTACACACTGTAATTTAGAAAATAGTGAAAGTGAAAGTAAGTCACTCAGTCGTGTCCGCCTCTTTGTGTGTGGACTGTAGCCTACCAGGCTCCTCTGTCCATGGGATTCTCCAGGCAAGAATACTGGAATGGGTTGCATTTCCTTCTCCAGGGGATCTTCCCGACCCAGAGATCGAACCTGTGTCTCCCGCATTGTAGGCAGACACTTTAACCTCTGAGCCACCAGGGAAGCCCAGTAGAAAATAGAAAACACATTGTAATTTATATTGTTTTAGACAAATACTAGTTGTTAAGTTTAGCAATTTCTTTTGACAGAATTTATTGGAATTATGTATCATGTACCAATCTAGGCACTGGAATTATAACTATCATCACAGTCTAGCAGGAAAGACATACATTAAAAGTGAACGTAGTAACAGCACCATGTGGTAATAAGTATTTAATACTATGAATAAAAAGTGTTTAATACTAAGATGTTAATAACATGTTATGTTAATACTATTTTAATAACAAGTAACTAGATAATAAGTATTTAATATTATGATGTCTTAAATCATTGTTCACCTGATTTTGAGCCAGATTTTTTGAAAGAAAACACTTTCGATTTAAGACAATGAATGTTGTAGTGTTAAATAAATCAACATTCACCATGAAGAATTCATTCTGTTCTATACAGTGAAAGTATAAGTACCGTTATCTTTTTTTCAAAAGACTCTGTATTGGAAATCTACATTAGTAAATTGTTTACATCTTTCTATTTTTTTCCTTTCTTTTTCATACTTTACTTTTGTGGATGACTAATATTAAGGCTTAAAAATCTTTTATCTGAACTAACTGCCAGACTTCTGCAATTTTCAAATATCTTTCAAAAGCAGAAGAAAATTTACTTAGAATCATGACTATAATTCTGGAAACTATCATCAACAAAAATTAAAGCTGAACTTAAAAACCACAGTGCTTCAGAATGAGTTCTATATTTTTGACAAATACTACAACTTATGAATTTTGACTCTAAGCCAGAATAACGTGTTCTTACAATAACATGTTCTCATTTGTAATATTCTCTAATATGATCTACAAGGAATTACAATTGCAAATCATCTCTGCTTTTAAAATATGCTCTGCTCCAAAATATCATATGATATCACTTGTTTGAATTTTCACACCGCTTTTTTTGTCACACAAATAAGTGTCAGCTTCTGTCAGCTTCTTCATAATATTTAATACTCTGTTGTTCATTGTCTTAAATCATGTGTTATCTTTCCTAAAGTCTTGCTCTCTCATCTGTTTTTGTGCAAGACTTTAGGAAAGAGAACACGATTTAAGGTGACGAATATTATAGTATTAAGTAAATCAATTAAAACAAATATAATACTAGTTTAAGATGCATTGTTTATATAAGCACCGCAGTATCAGCAAATGAAAGAAAGTAATAACATATGTAAGCATTTATTTATGAACTTGGGAAAAGGTTGAAAGGTTGGCCTCTTTACTGTTTGTCTTGATATTGCCCTTCTTCCTTTCTGTATTCCTTGTTCATTGATAGTGTACTTCTCTTTTAGAAATCTCATAAGACCATAAATCTTCTTAGTAAAAACCTACCAAGGTTGGTGTTTGCCTCAATCCTCTGAAATCTTTTGTGCTCTAAACTGTGTCCTTTTCGTGTCTCTATTTCAGTTACATTTTGTTTTCTCAGTGGAACTGAGAACTCAGCCACGTTTTAGAACTCATTTTCTAAATGATACAAAAGTGTGAACCAGTAATCCTTTTGCAGGATTATTTGCATCTGAGAAAGAAGATGCATGTTTATCCAGGACACTTTTAGTTTTGTTCATTTAGTGAGAGGCATTGTGCAATAAAGCGAACAGATTTTTGCTTTGAATTGACCTGGGCAGAACCTAGTTTTTCAGTTTGGAAGTTTATGTCTTGGAGCAGTTTACTTCTTAATATCATTTTTAATTTTTTTTCCAGTAAAAAAGGATGTGAGAGAAAGCTTATGTGATGCAAAATAATTTATAGAGATAAGAAAAAATACTAAAATTAATGCTCATCTTTTGTAACAGGAAAGCTATAGATGGCAACAAGTTAGAGAACTGAAATAAGAAATTGGGTCAATGTAGAAGTTTCGAAGAGTTGACTCATTGGAAAAGACTCTGATGCTGGGAGGGATTGGGGGCAGGAGGAGAAGGGGACGACAGAGGAGGAGATGGCTGGATGGCATCATCGACTCGATGGGCATGAGTTTGAGTCAACTCCGGGAGTTTGTGATGGACAGGGAGGTCTGGCGTGCTGCCATTCATGGGATGGCAAAGAGTTGGACACGACTGAGTGGCTGAAGTGAACTGAGAAGTTTTTGATGTGGTCGGTATCCCATAGGTAGCAACCAGCACACATAGATGGCTGCTCTTGGCTTTCTTGGCTTTTACCTCTGTTCTCTGTTCTATTATTACTTTAGAGGACCCCTGGTTGAAAATTTTAAAACCTAAAATTCTAATTTTTTAATCAATTCTAAATTGTTTTTTTTATCACATTCATGAACAGTGATTACCTACATTCAGCCTGATACACCATACATAAGTTCATGTAGCACTTTCAATTAAGTGCTTTTCTGCACATATCTTGTTTTTGAGTCACACAGGTAGGAAAAGTAACATCATAGGTGTTACATGTCATTTTTTAAATGACAAAACTGAATCTCAGAAGTTTTGTCTCTTTGGGAATTTTCAACTTTTTGGACTAGATTGGAGCAGTGCTAGGTCCTAGGTATACCCATCTGATCAGTCATTTACTTATGTCTCAATCCTTTCACTTACGTCAGTTTTCAGTCAAGGCTGTACGAATTGAAACAAGTTTTTATGCCATAAGGGGATTCCCAGGTGGTGCTAGTGATAAAAATTCTGCCTGCTAATGCCAGAGTCACAAGAGATGCAGGTTCGATCCCTGAGTCAGGAAGATCCTCTGGAGTAGGAAATGGCAACCCACTTCAGTATTCTTGCCTGGAAAGTTCCATGAGCACAGGAGCCTGGCGGGCTACAGTCCATGGTGTTGCAAAGAGTCAGCCCTGACTGAGCAATAGAGCACAGCACACACACATTGTTCCATAAGGGTGACGCTGTCACAGTGTCTTAGCTATTTGGGGAGATGCTAAGACAAATGTACGATGGCGTGATCACTCACCTGGAGCAGACATCCTGGAATGTGAAGTCAAGTGGGCCTTAGAAAGTGTCACTATAAACAAAGCTAGTGGAGGTGATGGAATTCCGGTTGAGCTATTTCAAATCCTAAAAGATGATGCTGTGAAAGTACTGCACTCAGTATGTCAGCAAATTTGGAAAACTCAGCAGTGGCCACAGGACTGGAAAAGGTCAGTTTTCATTCCAATCCCAAAGAAAGGCAATGCCAAAGAATGCTCAAACTACCGCACAGTTGCTAAACTCAAAATTCTGAAAGAGATGGGAATACCAGACCACCTGACCTGCCTCTTGAGAAACCTGTATGCAGGTCAGGATGCAACAGTTAGAACTGGACATGGAACAACAGACTGGTTCCAAATAGGAAAAGGAGTACGTCAAGGCTGTATATTGTCACCCTGCCTGTTTAACTTATATGCAGAATACGTCATTCTGGAGAAACGCTGGACTGGAGGAAGCACAAGTTGGAGTCAAGATTGCTGGGAGAAATATCAATAACCTCATATATGCAGATGACACCACCCTTATGGCAGAAAGTAAAGAAGAACTAAAGAGCCTCTTGATGAAAGTTAAAGAGGAGACGGAAAAAATTGGCTTAAAACTCAGCATTCAAAAAACAAAGATCATCACATCCAGTCCCATCACTTCATGGCAAATATGAGGAAACAGTGGCTGACTTAATTTTTCTGGGCTCCAAAATCACTGCAGATGGCGATTGCAGCCATGAAATTAAAAGACGCTTACTCCTTGGAAGGAAATTTGTGACCAACCTGGATAGCACATTAAAAAGCAGAGACATTACTTTGTCAACAGATGTCCGTCTAGTCAAGGCGGACTTTTTGTTTTTTCCAGTAGTATGTATAGATGTGAGAGTTGGACTATAAAGAAAGCTGAGTGCTGAAGAATTGATGCTTTTGAACTGTGATGTTGGAGAAGACTCTTGAAAGTCCCTTGAACTACAAGGAGATCCAACTAGTCCATCTTAAAGGAGATCAGTCCTGGGTGTTCATTGGAAGGACTGATGTTGAAGCTGAAACACCAATATTTCGGGCACCTGATGCGAAGAGCTGACTCATTTGAGAAGACCCTTATGTTGGGAGAAATTGAAGGCAGGAGGAGAAGGGGACGACAGAGGATGAGACGGTTGGATGGCATCACCTAGTCAATGGACATGAGTTTTGGTTAACTCCGGGAGCTGGTGATGGACAGGGAGGCCTGGTGCAGAGTCGGACACGAGTGAACGACTGAACTGAACTGAAGACAAATGTATTTTAAGATAATTCAACATAACACAGTTAATATGTCTACATTAAGCGACATAATATACACCTTTCTCCTGTGTAATGGCTTTGATTTCATTTATAAATGTAAGTATTCCTTTATTAAATGTTGCATTCTGTATTTGTTAATCTTGTCATTCTTTTTAAATCGATTGATCAAATGTGTTGTTTTTCTTTGGATATACTAAAAAGAGCCACGTAGTTTCTGATTGTGTCTAGGCTATACAGAAAATACTTTATTAAAGTAATTTACAGTTCTTATAAAGATGAATACTCCAGGTAAAGATATATTTTAAAAATCTAGTAATAAATTGCTGATTCATAGTAAAGATCCTGGCAATTAATTAATAAATGTATAAATTGATGGTTTGAAAAACATACTTTGGTACCTCTTGGATATAGATGTGACTAATATTACTTGAAAGTGATTTATTAAAGTAATATACTTCAAAAAAAAAAGTAATATACTTCATACATGAGTTCATTTTAATTTTATTTTTCTTTCTTAAGGTTTCAGCAGAGCAGCTTTACCGTTTGGGCTAGTTCGTCGAGAATTATCCTGTGAAGGTTATTCTATAGATCTGCGATGTCCAGGCAGTGATGTTATCATGATTGAGAGTGCTAATTATGGTCGGACAGATGACAAGATTTGTGATGCTGACCCATTTCAGATGGAGAATACAGACTGCTACCTCCCAGATGCCTTCAAAATTATGACTCAAAGGTAAATGTTCATGTGTTAATATCTAATTTTAGGTACAACATCCAAATTAGTGAAAGTGTTATCATAATTCCATACTTGATGGATACAGTCCATATCTCATCCTATTCATTAAACCAAGTTAGGGTTTTCCCTACTAATGTTGATTTCTACTTTATATAGATTGACATATTTATACAGTGACATAGATAATGACATAGACTGAATTGTTATACATTTTTTATATATCATATAATTAAGAGTAATCAAAATACAGTCTTTTTTAAGACTTCAAAATTTTGAAATATTTTATAATATCAAGAATGTTTCAGTGTCTGGGTCTTTGGCAGTAATTGCTCCTTAATATTTTTAATGAGTAGACTTCATTTTTCAGCAAAAATTAGCAGAATGTACACAGAATTATCATATTCCTTCTGCACACATGTGCAACTTCCCTAACCATTAACATCCTGACATCCCTTACCACAGTGTTAAATTTGTTGTAATAGATGAGCTCACATAGACACATCATTATCACCCAAAATCCTCAGTTTGCATTAGGGTTCACTCTTGCTGTTGTACATTCTGTGGGTTTTGAAAAATTTATAATGACCCTTATCTACCACTGCAGTATCATACGGAACATTTTGATTTAAAAATTCTCTGTGCCCCACCTACTGATTCCTCCCTCCATCTGACCCCTAGCAACCACTGATCTTACTATTTTCTTACAGTTTGCCTCCTCTAGAATGTCATATAGTTGGGATCATGCAGTATGTAACCTTTTCAGATTGGTTTCTTTTACATAGTAATATGTATTTACATTTCCTCTATGTCTTTTCATGGCTTAATAGCTCATTTTTTTAAAGTGTTAAATAATATTCCATAGTCTGGATGTACTGCAGTTTATCCATTCACCTACTGAAGGACTTGTTGATTGCTTCCAAGTTTTGGCAATTATGAATAAAGCTTCTGTGAACATCTGTTCAGGTTTTTGTGTGGACATAAGTTTTCAGTTCATTTGGGCAAGTACCATGAAGCATGATTTGTTGGATCTTATGGTAGGAGTGTATTTAGTTTTATAAGAAACTGTCAAAATGTCTTTCAAAGTCACTGTACCATTTTTCATTCTCATTGACAATGAATGAAGGGTGCTCCATACCTTCAACAACAGTTATTGTTGTTAGTGTTTTGCATGCTGTGAGTGCATCCCACGTGGCTCAGCAGCAAAGAATCCACCTGCCAATGCAAGAGACACAGGAGACATAGGTTCTATGTCTGGGTCAGGAAGATAATCTGGAGGAGGAAATGGGAAGTCACTCTTAGTATTCTTGCTTGATAGTCCATGAACAGATGAGCCCTGCAGGCTGTAGTCCATGGGGTCGCAAAGAGTCAGACACAACTGAAGCCACTTAGCCACATGCATGCAATGACATACCATGTTTAACATCTCTTAATATACTTACTTGCCATTTATTTATGTTTATTAGTGAGGTGTCTGTTCTGGTCCTTTCCCCCTTTTAATTGTGTTGCTTTCTTATTGTTTAGCTTTAAGAGATTTTTTTATTTTTACTCTTAATTTTTTTTGGCTGTGCCGCAAAGCCTGCAGGATCACAGTTCCCCAACCAGGGATCAAATCCATACATTCTGCTATGGAAGCATGGAGTGCCAACCCCTGGACCAGAAGAGAATTCCCTTTAAGAGTTTTTTTATAAATACATTTTGGATAAGAATCCTTTATTCCATATGTCTTTTGCAAATATTTCCTCTCAATCTATGACAGGTATTAATGCTCAGTTTTAAAAAAGCAAACAAGATAACAACACATTATGGAAGCTAAGAAAACTCAGTAGTGTTCATTCTCTCTCTTTCTTGATTGATAGATAGATAGATAGAAAATGGTGATAGTTTAGTCATCAAGTCTTATCTGGCTCTTTGTGACTCGTTGGACTGCTAGGCCTTTCTATCCCAGGTAAGAATACAGGAGTAGGTAGCCATTTCCTTCTCCAGGTTATCTTCCTGACCCATGGATTGAACCTGGGTCTTGTATGTTGCAGGTGGATTCTATACTGACTGGGCCACCAGGAAAGCCAAGACAGAAAATAGATAGAGAGAGAAAGACAGAGAGAATGGAAAGAAGGAAGGAAGGAAGATAGATGGAAAGAAAGAAGGAAAGAAGACAGAAAGATATTTGGGTAATATACAACTGGTTAATTTTGTGTTTTAAGATTGATGTACTGGAAAGTGTTATAAACTATAAAACATGAGTGGTATCTCTTAACTGGGCAGTTGCCTTCCTACAAGTAAACAGGATATGAAAAACCGCTACCAATGTTTATGGACTTTCTCTGCCATAACACAGATTACCTAATTCTTGGCATCTTTTTTTGTTTTGTTAAGCTTATTACTCATGGCATCTTAATTAGAGTTTTCTTATATGTAATATATTAAAGATTTAGTTATGACTGATCTAAGACAGCAATATCCAGCAGTTCCTGTTATTTAGAACATAAAAACTCTGACGGAAAACAAGTTTGACAGAATTTGTTATACATTATTGATTTTGGATTTTTTAAGAAAAAATACTAGGAAATCCCATTATCTTTCTGTTCAAAGCCTCCTTTCTCCTCCTGACTCTTTTCCTCTACTGAAAACAATCTTTTGTCCAGTAGCTTATGTGCTAATCTACCTTCAAAGTAGAACAGTAGATTTTTGGGGTCTGATCAGTGTAGGCACAATGCAAACATCCAGATGTGAAAAGAACAACGAAGGAAACAATGGAAAAACTATTTTAAAAAAAAAATCCAGTCCCTAAGAATATGGGTACAAATTGCTGTAAAATCTCTAATTTCATACAGAATACATATTAACATATTTTTATTGATAACACATTATAGTAAGTAGGTTTTTTGTTAATGTTGATACTGATCAAGATATTTTTAATAAATAAGAGAATATATAATACTTTTGAAAGATTTCCATCAAAATGTTTTTATGTTTAGTTTGTAAACGGTAGTTATTTAAAAAAGGTAAAATCTTTTTTGCACAAATGGCACTGGATACATGTTGCTTTTTTTTTTTTGCAGAAAAGTCCTTTATAGACTATGTTAGATTTGAAATCTAGCTGCTGAAACAAATTGCAAAACATAATTTACCTTCTTTGAAGGGATGAATTCTGTGCTCCAATAAGATAGTAATAGAACAATTTGCACATAGTATTTCAAAAATTGGGAACTGCCCATGTTAGGTGGACATTTACATGTTGATCCTACTGTTCAGTGGTAGTGATATGAGATGAACATCTAAAATTAGGCCAGAGAGAAATAGGAAATGAGAAACGATTATGTATAATTATCTGTTTTTATTAGACTGACAGGCAAAAAGCAGTGGGAGTTAGTACAAAGAGAATCTGAAAGACCTGGCCCTGAGGAATTGCACGTTGTAGGTAACTTTTGTTTATGAGTTTATTCATTTAAATACATGGTTGAGTATCTAACACAACACATAAGCCTTATCCTACTTCTTAATATAAATATAATTACATGTTATAGTAAATGTACAAATAGATACAAGTAATTTTCATTGTTTCATTATATTATAAAAGCAGGGCTACTTTTTTACCGTACATTTTTTAAAAATTTTCGCAGGGCTGGGTCTTCGTTGGTTGAGCATTTTTCTCCAGTGTGGCAAGCAGGAGCTACTCTTTAGTTGCAGTGCATGGGCCTCTCACTTCAGTGGCTTCTCTTGTTGCAGAGAACAGGCTCTAGAACATGGGCTCGGTAGCTGTGGCATTCAGTTGTGGATTTAGTCGTCCTGTGGCCTGTGGAATCTCCCTGGAACAGAGATCGAACCCATGTCTCCTGCATTGGCAGGCAAATTGTTTACCACTAAGCCATCAGGGAAACCCTTGATGACACAGTTTAACGGAACTAAAGTTTGTGCATATTTAAATCCTGTGAAAGCATACTGCTGTTCCCTTGTTACGAAAATTTCTAATCAATTTATGGTTAGTGAAAATAAAGAGTTCTAACACTGCTTGTAGAAACTCTATTTTTAAATTGTTTTATTATATTAGTGGCTTTATAATTATGTAATCAACACAGTGACGATTTAAATGTTAACTTTATTGACAAGAAATACAGTGTTGTTTTAAATAATGAGTTTCACAGTGGTAATTTATCAGTACTCCATTCTGTGTATGTTAGATTAAAAACCCTAAAGGAGGTCTACCATATCTGACTGTTACATAGTTTCAAATAACTGTAAGAAAAATAGGTAGACAATATTTTTGCAACTGAATTATTACAGAATAATTATTGACTATGTAGAATACTTGTCCCTTTTTAAAGATATCCTTTCAGTATTTACAAATAAAGTAAGAGCTTTTTCACCAAATCCTAATAATTTGGCAAAATTTTTCCATTTATAATCATCAAAAGATATGTTAATAATTTTAAAAATCAAACTTTTTTTCTTTAATGTAGGAAGTTACTTTTTGGAAAGATTAAATAAAAGCACTAGATTTTTTTTTTTTTGTATTTGAAACTCCCCACTTTTTGTGTATAGTAATAGATAACACAGAAATTTCAATACCGTGAAAATATGTTTATATTTTACTTCAAGGCTTTCCTACCTCCCCTCCTCATTGTCATCACTTCACCAGTTAAGAGTCAACTGAATAAATACACTTGTAATTCTTTGTGGTAAAAGTATTAATAATTGTTATTTATTCTCCATTTTATATTTCCTGCTTATTTAAACCTATGCAACCAAGGCTTTTTTTGTAACTGATTCTATTATCTTTTAAATGTATCCTGAAAAGTAAGAAATGAAACTCTTTACTAAATGATACATGTTTTAATACTCTATAAAATAATCACCATAATTTTTAGCACTCTTTGAAGATAATTGTTGTGAGTTCACTTAAATATGAAATAGTTTCAACACTTTGAATTCATTAAGGCAAATTTAAAAAAACCCTCTTACTACTCATCAAATACTCTGAAGTATTTTATGAATAAGTA